TCCTGGGATCGAGCCCCGCGTCGGGCTCCCTGCTCGGCGGGGAGCCTGCTTCTCCCTCTCCCTCTGCCTGCCTTTCTCCCTACTTGTGCTGTCTCTCTCTCTCTCTCTGTCGAATAAATAAATAAAATCTTAAAAAAAACAAATAAAAATAAAATCTTTTAAGAGAAAAAAGAAACAAATTAGTATTTATACTATCTTTTATAATTACATAATCACCGTTACTTGTGCCCTTTGTTTTTTTTTCATGTGGGTTCAAATTACCATTTGGAATCACTAGCTATCAGACTGAGGAACTTCCTTTATTTAGTATTTCTTTTTTTTTATTTATTTTATTTGACAGAGAGAAAGAGAGAGAGAGTACAAGCTGGGAAGCAGCAGGCAGAGGGAGAGGGAGAAGCAGGCTCCCTGCAGGGAGCCCGACATGGGGCTTGGTCCCAGGACTCTGGGATCATGACCTGAGCCGAAGGCCAACGCTTAACTGACTGAGCCACCCAGGCGCCCCTATTTAGTATTTCTTGTTAGGCAAGACTGCTTACCAATGAATTCTCTCGGGTTTTGCTTATCAGTAATGTTATTTCACATTCATTTTTTATTATTTATTTATTTATTTTTGAGAAAGAGAGTGAGTGTGAGCAGGGGGGAGGTGCAGAGGCAGAGGGAGAGAGAGAATCTCAAGCAGGCTCCATGCCCAGCACAGAACCTGACAAGGGGCTTGATCTCACGACCCTGAGATCATGACCTGAGCCGAAATCAAGAGTCCAATGCTTAACTGAGCCACCCAGGTGCCCCTCACATTCATTTTTTAAAGATAGCTTTTCTGGATATAAGATTCTTGGTTGGCATTTTTCATTTTTCTTTGAGCACTTTGAATATGCTATCCTCCTGTCTTCTGGCCTCCACTGTTGCTGATGAGAACTCAGCTTTTAATTTCATTTGGGTTCCCTTGTAAGTGACAAGTCATTTTTCTCTTGCTCTCTTTCAAGGTTTTCTTCCTTTTTTTTTTTTTTTAATTTATTTATTTGAGAGAGAATGAGAAATAGAGAGCACGAGAGGGAAGAGGGTCAGAGGGAGAAGCAGACTCCCTGCTGGGCAGGGAGCCCGATGTGGGACTCGATCCCGGGACTCCAGGATCATGACCTGAGCTGAAGGCAGTCGCTTAACCAACTGAGCCACCCAGGCGCCCGGTTTTCTTCCTTTTATGTGACTTTTAGGAGTTTTACTATCATACATCTGTTTGTAGATCTCTTTGTGTTTCTTACTTGGAACTCATTGAGCTTCCTAGATGTGTAGATGAATGTTTCAGTACCTTTGGGCAGTTTGGGGCCATTATTTGTTCATTTTTTTTTTCTGCTCCTTTTTTTCACTTCTCTCTTTGTTCTCGTTATGTATCTGTTAGTACACTGAGTGGCACCCCACTTTTCTCTGAGGTTCCATTCATTTCCCTTCATTCTTTTTTTTCTCTCTGTTCTTCTGATAGTATAATCTCTTTTGATCTATCTTCAAGTTCACTAATTCTTCTGACAGTTCAGATCTCTTCTTGAGCTATCTAGTGAGTTTTCCATTTCAGTTATTGTACTTTTCAACTCCAGAATTTCCACTGGATGCTTTTTTATACTTTCTATTTATTGATACTGTTTGATGTGATGTGATGTTTGTCATCATAATTTTACTTGACTTCTTTAACCATGGTTTTCTTTCATTCTTGGAACATACTCATAATGGCTACTTTCAAGTCTTTGTTGAATTTAGTGTGTAGTCGCTCACATAGGTAGATTATGTTGCCTGCTCTTTTTTTTTTCAGTGTATGAGTCATGCTTTCCTGTCCACATGCGTGTCTCATCATGTTTTGTTGGAAACTGGACATTTTAGATAATATATTGTAGCAACTCTCTGTTCTTCTTTCTCCTCCCCAGGGCTTGTTATTGTTACTTGTTTGTTTATTTGTTTGGTAAATGGCTGCATTATTTTAGTGAAGTCTAGTCCACTCCTAAATGTTAAGCATTTGACTCCTCAGGGAGCACAGCCCTGGGTGTGCACACAGTCACCCTTGAACGACAATACTTTTTACAGGGTTTTCTTTGGCTGTCTCTTTCTCTGCCCTGATCCAGCCATTAATTGCCAGCTAATTGCTCTACTGTTTTCAACAGTGCTCTGGAACATAATTTCTCTGCAGATGAATCCAGTCAATTTCAGACACCTTTTTGGGGCTAATTCCTAAGGTCTATTTTTGAGATTTGTTCTGATCCCAGGAGGGCTCCTCCTAGCTGTCTTTTCCCCCGGTTCTCTCCCGCAAACCAGTCAGCCTACAGTTTAGGGTGTATAGTCAATAAATCTATCAAATTCTTTCCAGATGCCTTGCATTATAACCTCTGCTCTTTTTGAGAGTATCCTTAGGATTGACTGTTTTCGTTCTCTGTTGCAAATGAATCAGTTTCTGTGCGAATACATTAGGAGCTACCTGTTTTAAGGCCTGCTCCCCCCCCCCCCCGGCCCCAGGCCAAATCTCTGATACCTTGCTCTGGAGGTAGGTGAAATGGCGTGCTTATCTCTGAGTGACATTGCGACTCTAGGAGCTGAGCACTAGGTCTGGGGGTCAGGTCCTCTTGGGTTGCCTCTGCAGGCATAGAACTACTGCCTTCCAATCACAACTGCCTTTTGAGGACAATCAGGGAGCCCTCTAGGATTCACAGCAGTACTACATCCAGGGTAGATCCTTCATGCCACCAGTAGGGACTGGGTAGATAAAAGGAGCTCCCAATCTCTCAGCCAAATTGCTTGGACTTTAGAACCAACAATGGTTAGCTGGGGGTAGACTGAGAAATGCTGACATCCTGCCCCTCCCAGGAAGCTAGCCCTCTGAAAGGGAGCTGGGGGAGCGGCTGCCCCAGGCCCTTAGCTATGGCAGTCTAGCATGGAGCTGGGAGAGGTATTAAAGAGAACTGTTGTGGTTTAAAATCTTAAGACTCTGGGTGCCTGAGGGGCTCCTGGGTGGCTCAGTTGGTTAAGCGTCTGCCTTTGGTTCGGGTTGTGATCCTGGGGTCCTGGGATCGAGTCCTGCGTTGGGCTCCCTGCTCAGTGGGGAGCCTGCTTCTCTCTCTGCCCCTCCCCCCTCCTCTTGTTCTCTCTGTCTGTCTTAAAAAAAAAAAAAAGACTGGGCGCCTGGGTGGCTCAGTCGGTTAAGCGTCTACCTTCGGCTCAGGTCGTGATCTCAGGGTCCTAGGATTGAGCCCCTGCTTCTCCCTCTCCCTCTGCCCTCCCCCTGCCTGTGTTCTTTCTGTCTGTTAAGTAAATAAATAAAATCTTTAAAAAAATAAAATCTTAAGACTCCGAAGTCCGTCTCCCCTGCTATGTTTAGGTCATAAATCTGTATTTTACACTTCCGCCTTTGCTACTCTGCTTATTTCATATTTCTGTTTGCTCTCACTTTTCCTTCATGGTAGCCTTCCTTCCATCTGTGACCCCCAGTTTAGTTTGACCTGTGCCGTATTACCCTTTGAGCCCACTCATAGCTTTGAAATCTATAAACAAAAACAATACGGTGAGTTTAAACAGAATTTTATTTGAAATACATTTTTCTTAATCTTAAAAGGTCTTTTTTCCATGAAAATATAAAATAAGGTATCTTAGTCCCCTTCCTGTTTTGACATGTTTTGAAACTTAAATTTTCATTAACTTGCTAACGTTATTTTAATAATGCTAATATTTAAGAAAATAATGCTACTATTTAAACAGCATCCTGCATTTAGATTTATTTTATTTTTTTAATATTTTATTTATTTATTTGAGAGAGAGAGCACAAGCAAGGGGAACAGCTGAGCAGGGAGCCTGATACAGAACTCCATCCCAGGACCCTGGGATCATGACCTGAGCTGAAGGCAGCTGCTTAACTAACTGAGCTGCCCCTGTATCTAGACTTAAAATCAACAATTCCCACACGTTATTGCAGACCAATATACTTTGCCGGAGCTGAGGAAGGGGAGGAAGGGTCGTGGAAGGAGAACGGAAGCCACAGCTGCTCTCAGTGGGGAGGGGAGAGGGGTGGTAGGACGCAGGGGACAGGGGACAGCAGTGTCAAATCTTGTCCTCATTCTTTTTTTGTTTTTAGAGAGAGATCGAGAGAGCATCTTAACCAAGCTCCAGGCTCAGTGCAGAGCATGATGCGGGGCTCGATCTCACGACCTGAGCCAAAACCAAGAGTCAGCCGCTCAACCAACTGAGCCACCCGGGCGCTCTGTTGTCCTGGTTGTTCTTAGATTGGCAGTGAGAAACGCTTTGAGAGTTGTTTGGGTTAATTTCAAGAGAGTGCACTTCTAGACTTGGGCTGAATGAAGCAAACCGCTTTTGCTCATTGCCAGCTTCGTCATTTTCCCTTTTAATTGGAAAATCTCAATGGAAATGATTCTAGTAAACAGTTTCCTAACCCCTACTTTTAGCTCTGTCTTCACTTGGTACTCAGTAGCAGCATTTCTCAGTTTTAATATGCCAAAACTTTATGAAGATTTACTTCCTATTTTGGCTCCAACCTGAATAATCGAACATCAAAATAGATACAGAAATCATTTAGGGCATTGATTTCAACAGAGAGAAACATTCACTCCCCTTCCATTGATTAGAGGAGAGTAGCCTTGAATTTCATGTTTCGTTCCTTTTTTTTTTTTTTAAGATTTTATTTATTTATTTGACAGAGCGACAGCGAGAGAGGGAACACAAGCAGGGGGAGTGGGAGAGGGAGAAGCAGGCTTCCCGCGGAGCAGGGAGCCCGATGCCGGGCTCGATCCCAGGACCCTGGGATCATGACCTGAGCCGAAGGCAGACGCTTAACCGACTGAGCCACCCAGGCGCCCCTATGTTTCGTTCTTAATCTTTAAAAAAGAGAGGCTCTCGTAAGAAGTCCCGGGTGGAGTCATTCTAACTGGGGAGGAAGTAGACACTAAGTGGCCACATGTCCAGGATATCATCAAAGAAAGACCTATTATGCTTCTCGTCTTTCTTACGGCCAGGATATCCAATACCAAAGCTTGACGTGAGCTTTCCATTGGAGCCTCGGGAAGAAGCGTGGGTGAAGGAACTACAAGAGTCCAAAGAAATGAAGCAATTACTTGATTCCAAGATAGGTAAGTAATTGTTCACTGATACCACAGAAGAGAGAAAAGAAAAATTCAGTCTTGATCAGGAGAAAGAGTTTGGGATTCTCCATAGGAATTTCTGTTTTCCTACTGGTGGTTTAATACAACTTTTCACTTTCCCTCGTGTTTTTGTTTTTTTTCTCCATGGGACATGGTGACAGCTGCCATTTCTCTTTCTTCTCTCAGGTTTTGAGATCGGGATAGAAAATGAAGATGATACTTCAAAACAGAAAAAACTGGAGAACATGTACCCATTTATTGTTACTCTAGAGGGGAATGCTCTCCACGGGCCCATCTTGCAGAAGGACTATGTACAGTTGGAGAATCAATGGGAGAGCCCCCCAGAGGATTTACAGACAGATTTAACAAAACTGGTAGATCAACAAGACCCCCCGGCAGGAGAGAAACCTGAAAATTCCACCGTGGAAGAACCTCTCAACCCCAGGCCCCAGAAGAAAAAGAGTCCAGGGGACAAACCTCACCGATGTCCTCAGTGTGGGAAGTGTTTTGCTCGGAAGTCACAACTTACAGGGCACCAGAGAATTCACTCAGGAGAGGAACCCCATAAATGCCCTGAGTGTGGAAAAAGATTCCTCCGTAGTTCAGACCTTTATAGACACCAACGGCTTCACACGGGGGAGAGACCCTATGAGTGCACCGTGTGTAACAAGCGATTCACTCGGCGGTCACACCTGATAGGCCACCAGAGAACCCATTCTGAAGAAGAAACGTACAAATGCCTGGAGTGTGGGAAAAGCTTTTGTCATGGATCGAGTCTCAAAAGACATCTGAAAACGCATTCGGGTGAAAAACCTCACAGATGTCACAGTTGTGGTAAAAGTTTTAGTAGACTGACAGCTCTAACTTTGCATCAGAGAACTCACACAGAAGAGAGACCTTTTAAATGTAATTACTGTGGGAAAAGCTTTAGACAGAGACCAAGCCTTGTTATTCATTTACGAATTCATACAGGGGAGAAGCCATACAAGTGTAGTCATTGTTCTAAAAGCTTCAGGCAGAGGGCAGGCCTTATTATGCACCAGGTCACTCACTTTAGAGGACTTCTTTGAGAATTGTTAAAGGCAACAGGCTCCTGCAGAAATTGACACTCAAAAAAAAAAAAGTCTTAACCGACAGCAGCCTGTTTGTCTTGGAAGAATCTTTTCGTTTGAGCTTATGAGAACAGGTTTTAAAAACTATTTTAAAACCCCGTCTTCCAAAGCATATGAATTGTAGAGTATCCATCTACTCTTGCAATGTTCCCAGATTCGATTTATTCTGTCTCTTATTTTTTTTTTTTTTATGACAATGAAAAGTTTTGTGTCCCAGGCCAACCGTATCATAGATAAAAAGCATATAATTGATGACAATCCTTTTCAGGGTAGGGTTAATATGATGGATAATCGTGTCCATCAACATATCTCCTACAGCAGCACCAGAATTAGTCTGCTGTCATTATTAAAGGCGATTATATTAGTTCAGAGCTTTATGTGTCGTAAGTAGCAAGAAAGGAGACAGTGTATTTTGTCAGATAATAAAAATGTGTCGGGAACACATTTGCCTGGTAAGAACGGGGTTATTTCCATAGAAAGTTTTTATGTTTAAGGAAATTAAGATTTTTAACCCGAGTTGGCTAGTCTGCTTAGTTGGCGGTCTGGAGTGATGCTGCTTAGAGCTGAGTATTCATTTGAGGATTTCTTTTGTTCACAGAATAAGTAAGCTCTTTGTGGAAGAATCCATTTGACAGTTGATGTCATCCAAGTAGAATTTGATTTAATTTAGATTGACTGAGGAACCAGTGTCTGTTCTTTGTACTCTCCTTTGGTATTCACCCCTGTGTCTCTCAGTGCTTTTGAAATTTTACCCATTCTTTAATTCAGTGTCCCCCTAACTGTGTGTCATAGAGCACTTAGTTCTACAAGATATTTTACAAATAACTTCGGGACTCCCTGCTGTCTCCACTTTCTAGATTCACAGTGCCCATCAGCATGTGAGAATGTCTGAGAGGCCCTCCAGTAAAGGTGTGGCAAAAGCACCTCTTTTGGCTCAGTGTTTTGCCAACCTATTTGACCCTAGAACCCCTTTTCATGTACACCCAGTGATAACCTACAGAACTAGTATTCTGCAAATATTCCTTGGAACACACTGTCTTTAACAAATAGATCTATAGCTTTCAGTATAGTCTTGTTGCTCCCAAGCCTAGTTATCTCCAGTTGTTTCAAGGGTGTTATGAAAAGTTCTTTACATATATACATTTTTTTTTATGTAATACACACACACACACACACACACACATCATTTTAAGGAGGTGTGAGGGTCAGTAATTGAGATAATTTATATGTCGCTCAGTGATTCTCAACCTCTTTGAAATTTACTTATAACCACATGCACATATTGCTACTTATATAAACATTCTCATGTAATCGTGGTAATGACTCAAAGACCTGTAACAAGGGAAGAACTCTCTTTGTCAGTTATAGCTGTTGATACCTGAAAATATTCCTTCAGCCTAGTTCCTTGTTGTGAAATACAAGAGGTAGGACATTCAAGTATTTTCCCTTTTTGAAGATACCAGTCATTGTTTCCCTAACCTAGAATTAGGGAAAGTATATATATTTTTTTCTATTCCATTGAAGTTCTCGGAAGTGATATTGACTATAAATATTTCCGGGGCAACTACGATGTGCCCAACTAGTCCTGTTCTAGGCTTAATGGAAACCAGTAAAGACATTAATCCGTGAGTCAGGTTCATAAGGAGTTTATAATATCGTTAGTTAAACAAGAGTTGGGAAACACATGGAGGACAATGCAAGAGAGTTTGGAATTAAGTGCCAAATCATATGAAGTGCTAGAGCCAGGGTGTGTCTTTAATTCTTGTCATCTGGGTCCCTGTAAGATGCTGCTATAAGGGTGGGGTTAACGTTGAGACCCCAGTAGCAATAAACATGTTAACGTGGGAGGAGTCTGAATGTAGAGGTGAACAATGCGGAATGTAACGGCTCCTCTTTTCTCTCTTGTGGACTTGCATCCAAACCAGGACAGTGCCTTAGAAAGGATGTGCCCAACTGCTCTGTATCTATGCAATATTTTAATAAAGTGGAAATGTGTATGCTCGTCCTGCTTCGATCACATTAATAATGGTTTGTGCAACTCAGAACCACTTCCCTGAGCCGTGGAGACAAGCACCACGATTGACCCCTGCTCCCACCCAACGTTGCAGTCACTTTACTCTCTGCACCCATGGTGCTGGGTTTATGCATCATTCTGAGCATTTAATACAGTCAATTTTCGCTATAGGAGGCTTAGTTGCCATCATCATACGAGCTGCATCCTCCCGGCTCCCCCCCCCCCATCTGGAGCATAAACGCACAACTGGATTTTGCAGCTTAGAAGACATCTATTATCTATTTCTTTGTTCTAGTGTCCTGTATGTAACAGGCACTAATCAATATTTGTGGCATTGAGTCAAGAAATATGTGAAATAATTCTTGGAAACATATATCCCAGTGGATGTGCCTAGTGGATCCTACTGGATGTGCGTAGTTATATTTCTGAACATTTCCAAAAGGTAATGGCAAAATACAGTCCCTACCTCCTTAGTGTTTTGAAGGACAAAAACCAGGAGCCATCCCATAAGTGCTGTGAAGGTTAAATGTAGTGTGTATTGTCCAGGCCTGATACAGTGTAAGCTTTTCAATAAATATTCAGGATATTGTCTTTTCATTCTTTGCTGTTTAATGATAAAAGCCCTTAAGTTATGGATTTTCCTCTAAATATGGCTTTAGTCACATTCTATAGTTTTATACATAATGTCTGTATTAGTCAGGATTTTCCAGAGAAACAGAACCAGTGGTGTGTGTGTGTGTGTGTGTGTGTGTGTGTGTGTGTGTGTGTGTGTGTAGAAAATGAGAGGGAGAGAGAGATTGGATCACAGGAATTGGCTCATAACAGTTACGAAGATAATCAGCTATCTGCTAGCTGGAGAGCCAGGGTGGCTGGTAATATAATTCAATTCTAGTTGGAACACGTTAACTCCTAGTCCGATGTTGTAACTCCCAGTCCAAGGTGGAAGACTTGAGAACTGGGGGGTTGCAGGTGTTAAGTCCCAGAGTCTGAAAATCAGAGAACCAGGAGCTTTAGTGTTCAAGAGCAGGAACAGAAGGACATCCCAACTCAAGAAAGAGAGCGAGGGAATTTGCTCTCCTTCCACCTTTTTGTTCTGTTCAGGCCCTCAAGATTCGGTGCTGCCCACCCACTTGGTGAAGGCAGATCGCTTTACTCAGTCACTGAGTCAAAGGCTAATAATCTCTTCTGGTGACACCCTCACGGACAAGCCGAGGAATAATGTTTTACCAGCTATCTGGGCATCTCTTAGTCCAGTCAAGTTGGCACATTAAATTAATCATCACAGTGTTATTACTGATGATTTCAAAATTACTCGTAATTGCAGTTTTCATTATAATTCCTCTTTGATCCAAAGCTATACGATATTGCCATTTTCTTTTTAACTTTTCATTTTGCCACATTGTGATTAGAAAAAGGTTCATTCTATTTCTGCTTTTAAAGTTCATTTAGGAAAAAAAGTTCATTTAGACTTTTTTAAAAAAAGATTTATTTGAGAGAGAGCGTGCATGTGCATGGGTGTGAGAGCAGGGGAGGGGCAGAGGGAAAGGGAAGCAGACTCCCCGCTGAGTATGGAGCTCCACACGGGGCTCGATCTCACGACCCTGAAATCTTGAGATCCTGACCTGCACCGAAATCAAGAGTTGGGCACCTTAACTGACTGAGCCACCCAGGCGCCCCCATTTAGTTTTTTTTTTTTAAAGAGGTATATGTGATAACATTTGGTTAAGTATCCTAAAGCCCTAGAAAATAAGGATTCCAGATGTAATGCAGACACTTAGAATACAGTCGTGTACCTCTCAGTTACTTTAATGCCTTCAGAGGTGTCCTTGGTGTTTGTGAGGGGGCAGTGGCACAGAAGAGATTAGGTCGCTCCCCATTCTGCCTCCCTGCATTTTTGGACCCCCTGTTCCCTTGCTGCGAGGTTTTTTGGGAATACATTCTGGATGTCATATAGCAATTATTAACAGCTGCCAAGCTATCAGGGCTGGCAGTAAAAGCGGGAGGCCAAAGGACCTTGGAGAGACCTAGCCTCTCCGCACCAAGCCGAGACGGTGCTCCCTCGGATGTGGTAGCGGTCTGTCTCACCCCTGAAAGCAGAGAGAACCTGCACTGGGCGCCTTGACGTTTTTGGAACGGTGGCCCTCCTGAATCAGCAGGGATTGCTTCCGAGCGTGTGGAGGAGGCGGTCCAGGTTAAAATCCAGGCAATCGGGACATACAGGTGAATCGGCCCCAAAGGGCTCACTATCAGGTGGGGGAGGAGAGGCATTACCCTTTGCCTTCTTGCGCTTGCAGTCCACATGACCTTTCCTGGCCACCTCCAGGAAACTGCATGAGCTTTCTTCCTGAAGCCTCCTGTCATTTCTAGCCTCGGGATATGGGCTGAGTCATCTCATAAATTACCAAAGCTCACACTCGAGCCCCGGGCAGCCCCTGCTGCTTCTCTAGTCCTCTGTCCCAGATAGGGAAGGGGTGGGAAGAACGCTCACCTCCTAGTGTCTCCGTAGCACTTAATAATCAATGTACTCAGAACCCCAATTCTGGAATTTTAACTACTGGGATTGAAGGGTGGTGGTAGTTTCTTTTCTCACCAGAGTGATGGATAAGTTAGTCTCTACCCAGCATTTTCCATCTTGCTTTCTCAGACGGGACTTCTCAGAGGTCTTGCAAGGCCTAAGTTCACATTCTTTGAGGATCCAAAGATATGAAAATAATATTTCTCTTTTGTCCGAATGAGTGAAACCCATCACAACCCCCAATATACATGAAACACTGATATGCAAAATCAAAATTTTATCTCCAAGGATTACCTGAAAACCTGATTCATATGTTAGAGGACCAATTTACATTCAAAAGACACACAGCTACTGAGTCACTGAAGAATCCCCCTAGATTTTTATTTGAACCAAACAATATGAGTAGTCCATGTTGATTGGATGCAATCACTTGGCGCTGCACTCAGAATTTCCCTTTGACAAAGCAATGCGGATTCCATCCATGACCCTCCCTCTCCTGGACACTCCTACCCGCTTCTTCACCTTTCAACAGGGCGTGCATTTTGTGTGTGTGTGTGTGTGTGTGTGTGTGTTTTTAACAATTTTTAAAAAAGATTTTATTTATTTATTTGAGTGAGAGAGTGACTGGGGGGAGGTGGTGGAGGAGCAGAGAGAGGGACAGCCAGACTCCAAGCTGAGCACGGAGCCTGACGTGGGGCTCGATCCCATGACCCTGAGATCATGACCTGAGCTGAAATCAAGAGCCGGACACTCAACCGACTGAGCCACCCAGACACCCCACACATGGCTTGCATTTTGAAGTGCTACGTGCCAAAGAAGAATGTCTAGGATGAAAAATACTCTGTACCTCACGCCAGACTTTTTTACATCCCTTGAACTACTCACTTCGTCATAATCCCTTTCAAAACAAAATTCCTTTTCTCTGAGTTTCACCGAAGCCCCTGCTCCGACTCCCACATGAACTGACCCAGATTTCACGCGTTTAGAGAAGTCAATATGTGAAATAGAGAAGCCAAACCACCCCTCTGAATGCAACATCCCCCTTATCCTTCAACCACTCCAGCTGCTGAAGAACTGTAAGAAGCTGAATAAATCTGTTGTGTCCACAACACCTTCCTTGAGAGTGATGAGTTCCAGCCAGGATGCTCCTTCTATCCACTCCAGCAATCTTCACGTTCCTTTCAGACCTCCTTCTCAATGCACTGCATTCTGACAATGGAATCTCCACACTTTGGAGTCTGGTTTTCCCCTCAGAGGGCATGTCTTAACTTTCTCTGATTCACCTCTTTAAAGGCCTCTGGGGCTTTAAGAGCACCAACAAGCCATTGGATTAATAAAGCCGTTGTACCAAGACCATACCCCATACACAAGGAGAGGGGTCACCCATATTGGTATAAAGGTGGGACTAAAAATTCAATTCTCCCACGTGACGCAGAAAGCCTCTTAGTACAAGTCATTTGCTCATAGTAAAGGTGCATGTCGCTACAGGATTTAGTCCTTAGTATGGAGAACTTGATTTGCCCTCAAGAAAATGGCACACTCTCCTTCTCTCCTCTGCTAAAAGCCATTGGCGATTGTAGTCCGAACCCATTTGTCGTTTTGGTCTTCTCAGGGGGGCCCTTGCATTGCCTCAAAGGGGTATTGCCTACCAGAACTTTATCTGTGAAGCCTTAGTCCTCTGCATTTCGCTTTACAAAACTCATTCAAGGTTTCCCTTTCTTGTCTGCACCTGATAGTGTGATGACCTTGTTCCCTGGAGGAGTAAACAATACATGGTTTCAAGTGGGCTTGTAGGATTTGAGTCTTTTTTTTAGAGGGAGGGAGAGAGAGAGGCAGAGGGAGAGAGAGAATCTTTAGCAGGCTCCATGCCCCGCCCAGTGCGGGGTCCAACATGGGGTTCGATCTCACCACCCTGAGATCATGACCTGAGCCAAAACCAAGAGTCGGATGCTTAACCGACTGAGCTACCCAGGTGCTCTGTCTTACTTAAAAAAAAATGTTTATTTAAATTTTGGTTAACATACAGTGCAATATTGGTTTCAGGAGTGTCTTCCTTTTGACTTGAAACCACATGGCATAAACTTGTACAGAGGTGGCCTGCTTCTTGGTCATGGCCTAATGGTTCCTGGGAGAATCATGCTGGATTGGAGCTCTGTGTGGTTCAGGAGATTGAGCAATTCTCCTGCTCTCAAGCCTGGGCCATCTGTAGCCTCTTCCCGCCTTTGCGGCAGCCTGCAGCTATGTGCCCTGGTGGGTGCCGAGGAGCAGCAAGGTACGCAGTCAGCCTGGAGACCTGGCCTGGGATGGTGCTGGGCACCCAGTGTTTTCTCCAGGTGCCCATTAGGATTCCAGCTCGGGAAAGGGTAAGGTTCACTATAAGACACAGCGTGAAGCTGGCCTCGGGAGAAGTTTAAGTTAGAAGTGAGGTAAGTATGAGGAGGTTCGGTGGAGTAAGTTTAAGGTTTATTGTGA